CAATGCCAAATGGCATACCACATTCCTGACCTTTCTAAGATTTTCAAAGGACATATAAATAGGGATTTCAACTTTCCCTTCTGAACAAATCTTATAACCCCTTGCATTGGTGCCACTTTAAGAAATATTTTCTTACCAATTTCAAATTCTACCGATTTCCTTTAAGATCTGCATAGGGTTTCTATCTATCTTGAGAGGATTTTCATCTACTTCTAATTTTATCAACTACATGTACTATTCAGGCAATAATTTTTGGACTTAATATTCTATTTTCTCCAACTTTTCCCCAGTGAATTGGGGATCTACACCTTCTATCATAGAGATTCAGATAGCAATTATTGTATTTGAACTCCATCAAAGGTAGGTGAGCTTCAAAGGGTTTACCCTACCTTTATGCAAGAGTTCTACGCCAACTTTAATGTAGAGTTAGACGCTCTGGGAATATAGCATATGCATCATACATGTGTTCAAAGCAAATGGATAACGTTCTTTCCAGAAGTGATTGATGTTTACTACAAACTGACCATGGACAATATCGTGCTTATGCCAATGGATCTAGACATTTCAGTTGTTACGTAGATGCTACATAGAAGAGATGATGTTGGCCACTCCTAGAAAATGAATTCGAGTACCGATATCTGACAGACTTCCTTGTGACTTTATATAAATTCATCAGTCACAACATTAACCCAAGCTCGCACCGCACCACTATTAGTCACCCAAGGCTATTCAATTGGATCATCTCACACGAGGTTTTAAAATTGATTTGGGATCTTTGATTTACGATCTCATATACTTTGTGGCATCAGATCTAGACCCAGACATATATTTACTTTCCTAGTCTCATTACTAGCATATGTCGTACGTCAGGCATTAGATTTTTACTTGCATACGTTGTGCGTTACATTAGATTTTTACCCAAAGGCAAATGATCACATTCCACCTCTACAAAGCTAGAGCTAGCACCTAGTTTGCAGGTCATTAGTCGGTTGTTTGCTGTTCTGACAGAGACCAATAGGTCATTTCATCATATAGAGGAGATGATGATAGCTTTACAGCCTAGGGAGCACATGAAAGATGATAAGAAGCATGCTTGGAATATCAAGATGCAAGGTATGAAGCGAGATATTGACAAGCTCTTGAGTGAGCTATTGACTTCATACAGGGAGCATGACATCATGGGAAGACTATTGGTTAGATGCAAGAATGGGGCTGAGGACATGCAATCAGAAATGAGACCATATGTAATAGATTAGATAATATGAATACAAGGGAGGAGGTCATGTACAATAGTTAGAAGACACAAATAGACAGATTGATCAAATGTGTGCTTTGGTACGAGACCTTTACTCTCGTTCCACTCATTCGTCGCCATCTATGTTGGACCCCTCTAATTCTGGAGCTTTCGTGTCATTCCATCCACCACCCATGGACTAATACCAGGGAAGACTTGATCCATTTTTGTCCTTACCTTTTGTTTATTACTTACACAATTTCTAGACATTGAGGACAATGTCTGTATCAAGTTTGGGAGTAGGTGTTTCATTGAGCCTTTTGTTTTAAACTGTTGTATGATTGTGTGGAAATAAAAGGAAAAAATCATAAAAATTAGTCTACTTTTCGGTCTTATTACTTTATTTATGTATTGTTGTATGCCTGTATGGGTTGGATAGTTTGCTAACAATGATGAATATATTGAAGCATAGAGTTGGGCTATAAATTTATGGATAAATTATGAGTTAACTTATGCTTAGTCATGAGAAACTAGATATTTAATTGCACGAGATTTATGTTTTGCTTTATGAAGAACATTTTGATTCATATTGATGAGTAGGTGAAAATTAATGGACCTTAGATGCTTAATCTTAACATCCACCATGTTATGCAACCTTAAACCAATTTTAGGATAGTTTGGGAGTGATTGAGTTATAGGGAAACATTGAAATAAATGTGGATTCCATGTATGCTAAGTTTTGTGTGGATTGTCAGAAAAGAATAAGATGAAATTAGGTTAAAATCTTAAGTTGGGAGTTGATTGTTGAAAATAAGTGTTTAATAAGGGGCATTGCACTAATCATTAAAAAAGAAGATTTTTTTGGTCTTATTGTGAAGCCTCTCTTCGTAGCCTTTATGATTTTAGTGATTAAGCCTGTAAGGGTATTTAAAACCTAGTGCCCTATGGTTATTTGACTTGGGAGTCATCAGCTAAAAGCTCATTATATGGGTCATTTAGAACGTTTAAGGGGGAGGAGATCGCACACAAGATAAAAAAAAAAAAAAAAGTAAAAAAAAATATGTGTGTGTGTGTGTGTGAATATATATATATATATATATATATATATATATTCACACACACGTTTCTTTGAATTATAATAACTTGGGCTTAACTTATGCAGACTTAAATTTTCTTGAGCCCAACCTAAGTTATTTTATGCGAACTACAAAATGAGTCCTATATTGATATACCTTTTTTTTTCTTTCTTCTACAATTCTTAAATATTTAAACCAAACAAATAAAAGAAATGGATTGGACGATCATACTATCTTATGGACTTTGATGTGATTAACAAGAAATTCGACATAAAACAACTTTTATTTTCTAATTGACTAAAGATAACATGAGAATTAGGTCGCTCTATTTTTAAAAAAAACAAGGAAGAATTATACAAATTGTTACAATCTCACCCCTTAAATTTTTTTGTCAAATTACCTTATCAAGGAGAAGAGTCATGGGTACATGGTCTTGATCTCCTCTTCTCTTTCCTATGTAGCCTTTTTTACTCCATGGTTTCGCCATTGAATCTTAACTGAGGTGACTTCTTTATTTTTCAAAATACACACTTTTGTCTAATGTTTTTGTAGAAACATCTTCATACGTCAAATCCCTCTGAATATCTAACTATTGGTAGCTTACAACATGCTCGAAGTCATGTACATACTTCCTAGGCATCGAAATATGAAAAACATTGTACACTACTAACAAATCATGTAGTGATGAGTGTAATTCATTCATATATTTAGCACCTTCAAATCTTAGTTTTTGGGTTGTCGTTGAGCACATTTGAATGTTTTGATACGAGTTTTCATGTTATTTTGTAGCTTAGACAACTTTTAAGAAAACGCCAAATTTTGGAGTTGTGATGAAGCCGTAATGAAGATCATAAAATTTGAGTATGAACTGAACGATGGAAAAGAACATGGCAATGAAGCATGGAAATTGAACAAAGCAAGAAGGGATAGCTTCATGGGCTAAAACAACAATCCCTGTGGGTTCGACATTTCAATTCCGTCACTATATTACAAAACTTGACACCATACACTTGCGCTTATACCACGTCTCATAAAACGGATGGCAAATTTTTAGCGCCGTTGCCGGTGATTGTTTTGATTGATTTCTATTGATATTATTACCAATTAACTTTGCTTTCATTTGGAGTTTGTTGTTACTTTGTTAACTTTATTTCTACTTCCAACAATCCCCTTGTTTTCATTTTCAGTTGTTTATGTGAAGGGTAAGAAATCCTGATCTATTGCCTATTGATCCTGAACCAGAACGCACATATTTTGTCTTCTAAGGGGTTTACATAGGGACGAACGTGAAATAATGGCAGAACAGGATGCAAGAGTAGCTCAAGAAAACAATCAGCCATGGCCTATTAAGGACTATGTTAGACCGGTCGCCAATGGAGTATTGTATACCCTGCTATTGCAACAAACAATTTTGAACTGAAGCTAGGGCTCATATATATATTTCAGCAGAACTAGTTTGGGAAAAGTTCTACAGAAGATCCAAATGCTCATATGGGCTCATTTTTTGGAGAGTTGTGATACAATAAAAATGAATGGAGTGATGGAAGATGCAATTAGGCTGCATTTATATTCTTTCTCCCTGAGAGATAAGGCTAAATTGTGGTTCCAATCATTACCATATTGCTCCATCACTGCTTGGGACGGTCTAGCTCAGAAACTCCTCACCAAGTATTTTCCTCCTTCCAAGTCGGCTTAACTTAGAAGTGAAATTGGCCAATTCAGACAATTTGATTTTGAACCGTTTTGTGAAGCTTGGGAAAGATTTAAAGACTTGCTCAGACCATGTCCTCAACTGAACAGTACCAAATGAATAGTAATTAATTAATTTTTTTTAAAAAAAAACACAAAACAACTAAATTACCAAAAGACTTTTAGATCTAGGACTCAGACGAATAGGAAACACGAAGAACACAAATGAAAATAGGGAAATCAGAATTGGATACATATTGAGACTTTTTACAATGTCTAAATGGGCAGACCAGAAATATTATGGATGTAGCTGCAGGAAGAACTCTAATGGCTAAAATAGTAGAAGCAGCATATGCTTTGCTGGATGACATAGCTACAAACTACTATCACTGGTCAAGTGAGAGATCAAGCACGAAGAAGGTAGCAGGTATGCATGAAGTAGATTCCATCACAGGATTGGAATCTCAATTGTCATCACTTACCAATCAAATAGCTACACTCACTATGCAATGAAATCATCAAAAAAAAATTCAACTATTGCAACTTCCTCAGTTCATCCGGAGGCAGAAATGGTGAACGAACAGGCTTAATATGTCAACAACAGAAATTTCAATCAAAGGGGTAACTATTCTTCTAATCATTATCATCCTTGGTGGAGAAACCATGAAAATTTTTCATATGGCAACAACAAAAACACATTTCAACCTCCATCAGGATTCAACAATCAGCACTTTGAAGGGAAGCCATCTTTAGAAGATATTTTTGGAACTTTCATCTTTGAAACAAGATCATGGTTCAACAAAGATGAGTCGAGGTTGGATAATATCGAAACGCATGTGTCCAACATGGGAGCTACAATGAAAAATCTTGAGGTTCAGATCGGGCAGTTGGCTACATCAGTGAAATCCTAGCAACAGGAAAGTTTCCAAGTGACAGAAATAAATTTGAAGGAACATTGCAAGGCCATCACACTAAGGAATGGTAAGAAAGTTGTAGAAAATATGCCTACAGAAGAAATTATTGCCACCCTTGACAAGGAGGAAGAACAGTCAAATGCAACACAGGAAAATCAGATCAAAGAAATACGAAAGGATTACAAGCCTTATTCTATATCCTTCCCTGATAACCTACCAATCGTCGAACCCATACTTCTATTTCCACAAAGATTTCAGAAGAGGAAGTTGGATACGTAGTTTGCCAAATTCCTGAATATCTTCAAGAAGATTTATATTAACATCCCATTTGCTGATGCTCTAGAACAAATGCTAAACAATGCAAAGTTCATGAAGGAGGTGATGTCAAAAAAGAGAAAATTGGAAGAATACGAAACGATGAAGTTGATAGAAGAATCAGTGAAATTCTTCAAAGGAAGCTCTCTCAAAAAAGGAAAGATCCAGGTAGCTTCACCATTCCATGCACTATTGGATGCTCCTCTTTTGATAAAGCTCTTTGTGACCTTGGAGCCAGCATAAATCTGATGCCAATCTCAGTATTCAAGAAGTTGGGTCTCAGGGAAGTTAAGCCAACAACGGTGACTTTGCAGTTAGCTAATCGATCCCCTACTTACCCACGAGGAGTTATTGAGGATGTATTGGTGAAAGTTGACAAATTTATTTTCCCAACAAATTTTGTAGTGTTGGACATAGAAGAAGATCAGGAAATTCCACTAATCCTAGACAGACCTTTCTTAGCAATTGGAAGAGCTTTGATTGATGTCTAGGGAGGTCAATTAACCTTAAGAGTAAATGAAGAAGAGGCGAGGTTCAATATCTACCAGTCAATGCAATCTCCAGATGATACAAAGACGTGCCACATAATTGACTTCATTGATACTGTAGTAAAAGAATAAGATGTACTCATTGAAGACCACCTAGAACATTGTATGATGATGAGTGCAACATGGTATGATGTTACCGCCTCATGAGAGTATACGGACAGCAAGGACCTAGTTGACTACATATTGGCTCTTGAATATTTGCCAAATAGAAATGTTCCATCACAGAATGAAGATAGTCAAAAGATAATGGAACCGGATGAGAATAAAGGTAATGAAAGCACTAAGACTGAATTGAAGTAGCTACTTGATCACCTTCGATATGCATTCTTGGAGGAAAATTCTGCACATCTAGTGATAATCTCGTCTTCACTCCCCAGGGATGAAGAAGACAGATTGTTAAATGTGCTGAGAGAGTACAAAGCAGCTTTTGGGATGGTCTATAACTGATATTAAGGGTATAAATTCGACAATCTGCATGCACAAAACTATCATGGAAGAATCCTATAAGCCATCAATTGAGCACCAAAAAAGATTAAATCTAACAATGAAAGAAGTGTTACGACCAGAGATACTGAAGCTACTAAAGGCAGGAATCATATTTGCTATCTCAGACAGTGAATGGGTCAGTCCAGTACAAGTGGTCCCGAAAAAGGCAGGATGACAGTAATTAAGAATGACAAGAACGAGCTAATCCCAACAAGGACAGTAACTGGCTGGAGAGTGTGTATTGATTATAGGAAGCTAAACAAGGCAACCAAAAAGGATCACTTCCCACTTCATTCATTGACAAAATGTTAGACAGATTAGCTGCCTACTTCCACTACTATTTTCTTCGTGGTTACTCAGGCTACAATTAGATTGCAATCGTACCAGAAGACCAAGAAAAGACAACATTCATTTGCCCATATGGAACTTTTGCATACAGATGGATGGCTTTTGTGTTATCCAATATACCAGTAACATTCTAGAAATGCATGATGGCGATCTTTGCAGATATTATAGAGGACATCATGGAGGTATTCATGGATGATTTTTCTATATTTGGTACTTCTTTTGATAATTACCTTCACAATCTGTCTCTAGTTTTGCAACGTTGTGAAGAAAAAAATTTAGTTTTTAACTGGGAGAAGTGCCACTTCATGGTACAAGAAGGCATTGTTCTTGGCCACCATGTGTCAGGAAGGGGACTTGAAAGGATAGAGAAAAGATCGACGCAATAGCAAAACTGCCACTACCCATCTATGTCAAAGGCATTCAAAGTTTTTTAGGGTCACGCTAGATTTATAGGAGGTTCATGAAAGACTTTTCAAAGATAGCTAAACCCTTGTGCAACCTTCTGGAGAAAGGCACCGCATTTGTGTTTGATGAAAATTGCCTAAAAGCATTTAAAGTAATAAATGAGAAATTGATCACAGCTCCAGTAATGGTAGCTCCAGATTGGTATTGACCATTTGAAGTTATATGTGATACCAGTGATCACGCAGTTGGGACAATTTTAGGAAAAAAGCATGAAAAGACATTCTGAGCAATTCACTATGCTAGCAAAACTTCGAATGAAGCTCAGTTGAATTACACAACAACAGAGAAAGAAATGCTAGCAGTGGTTTTTGCTTGTGATAAATTTAGATCTTATCTCATTGGTACTAAAATAATCATCTACACAGATCACACCTCCATTAGCTATCTCTTTGAAAAGGAAGATGCTAAACTACGCCTGATTCAATGGATCCTACTACTACAAGAATTTGATGTGAAGATTTGGGATAAGAAAAGTAGTGAGAATGTTGTTGTTGATCATCTTTCACGGCTAGAGAATGAGAATGTGACAAAAGATGGTCTGATTCAAGAAACTTTTCCAGACGAGTTTCTTTTGGTAGTTTCAACACTGACTACATGGAATGCTGACTTTGTTAACTATTTGGCATGTGGAAAAATGCCACCCGACTTTACCTCCCATCAAAAGAAGAAATTTTTACATGATGTCAAGTCATATTTGTGGGATGATCCACTGCTCTTCAAGAGATATGCAGACAGGATCATCAAAAAGTGTATTCTTATGGAATAGACAGTCAATTATGGAGCATTGTCATTCCTCACTTTATGACGATCATTTTGGTCCTACCCAAACTGCATCCAAGGTATTACAATCGGGATTCTATTGGCCAACACTCTTCAAAGATTGTTATGCCTTGTGAAAACATGTGACCATTGCTAGCGCATCGAGAATATCTCGAGATATCATGAGCTGCCCATGACTAATGTGCTTGAAGTAGAATTATTTGATGTATGGGGCATAGACTTCATGGGTCCCTTTCCACCATCCTTCGGTCAAGTATACATTTATCTTGCAGTGGACTATGTGTTGAAATGGGTTGGAGTCGTTGCTACCCCAACAAATGATGCAAAGGTAGTTTTGAAATTTCTGCAGAAAAATATCTTCACTTGATTTGGCACTCCTAGAGCAATCATAAGTGATGAAGGAATGCATTTCTGTAATAAACTTTTCAACTCTCTTTTAGCCAAATACAATGTCAGGCACAAATTGGCAATTAGCTACCACCCCTAGATAAATGGACATGCAAAAATTTCCAACCGAGAGATTAAGCAGATATTGGAGAAAATAGTGAACACAAACCGAAAAGATTGGCCACAAATCTTGATGACGCACTGTGGGCATATCGAATAGCTTTCAAAACACCAATAGGAAGTCACCCTACTGCCTGGTATTTGGCAAGGCATGTTACTACCGGTTGAACTGGAACATCAAGCCTATTGCGCAGTTAAAAAGTTGAATCTAGATACGAAATTGGCCGGTAACCAACATTTGCTACAACTTGATGAACTATTGCATGACAAGAGAATCCTTATGAGAGAATTCAAGCCAGGAGAACGAGTTCTTCTATTCAACTCTCGCCTGAAGTTATTTCCACGAAAGCTTTCTTATGAGAGAATTCAAGCTGGGAGAACGAGTTCTTCTATTCAACTATTGCTTGAAGTTACTTCCAAGAAAGCTTAGATCATGGTTTTCAGGGCCATTCATGGTACGTAAAGTTTTTCCTTACGGTTCAGTGGAATTAGTGAACAAGGATGGAACATCTTTTCAGGCGAATGGTCAACACCTCAAACATTATTGCGGCGAGGAAGATCGATATGTGGTAGAAATTGCTCTCAAAGAGTCAAATTAAATCCACATCACGTTCAGCTAATGACGTAAAAGAAGCGCTTTTTGGGAGGTAACCCAAGCTCTATTCTTGAATTTCTTGGCATTAGTTAGGCATTTTATTCTTCGTAGGCAACATGAATAATATATTTTTCTTTTTGTTTTTGTAGAGACATGCTCAAATTTGGTCCCATCAACACTACAATCAACATGGGGAAAAGGGTAAATTGGAGATAATTAAAAAAAATTCATTTTTATTTTTTTTTCAAATCCACTGGTGCCTATATTGGGCGCAGCAGCGCCAGCCATTTTTAAAAAAAATAATAAATAAATAATAAAAACTTTTGACAGTAAAATGGGCTTTGCAACGCCCAAATAGGGCGCTGCAGCGCCGTGTTATTTTTTCAAAAAAAGCACTTTTTTTTTTTTTTTACTTTTTCTCTTTCATTTCATCATAACCCTAATTTCCCCCTTTCACTCTCTCTACTCCTCTCGACCCCCTCCCCTCTTAGAACTCTAGCACACTTTGCACATTCATCTACATCATTGTTGATTCCATATATCATTTCCCCTTCACATGAATTATTTGGCTAAGGAATCCTCTCATACAAGGTAAGGAATTTTCGTAGTTGGTTTGTTTTTCTTCATTGAACGGTTCTTGGCTTTGTGGGCATTCCTTTTGATTGGTTGATTAGATGACTTTGGGGAGGAATATTCATTATTGATTGGATATAAACTGCTACCATTAGAAAGTAAATTATGCTTTCTTGAGTTTTGTGTCGGCAAAGTTTTTGAAGTAATGCCTAAGTGACCTCTTGGAAGAAATTGTGCACTTGTATTCTGGATTGGGATATTGGTTGCTTCCACAATCTATAAAGGTACAGTAAGACATGCCGCCTAAAAAGAAATCCAAAGTCACTGCCTCCTCATCTACTACGACATTTGATCGGAAGAGATTTATTAATCCCGAAGCAGAGGAGCGCTATAAACCAAGTGTAATATACTAAAATTGCATTCCGGAAAGAGGCTTTGAGAACTTATTGGTCGAGAAAATAGAAAGTCTGGGATGGATAACATTTGCTTTGCAACCTTGATTTAACACCATGACCACGTGGATCAAAATGTCACAAGATTAACTGTACTTTAGCCATAAATTAATTAACTATATTTTTAGTGGAAGGTATAAAGATTTAATTTTAGAATTTAACTCAAGATTTTTTTTTTAAAATAAAAAATTCGACACTAAAAGAAAACAAATTCAAAAATGTTTCTAGAATGGATTCCATGCATGTAACCACTATTGATGTGAAGTTTTTGGCAAAACTTTAAAAGTAATATTGTTGTTTTATTTTTTCATTAAGTATCATATAAAATTCTACACACATCGAATCGATATTATTTTAACTATACTCAGGAGCTAATCCTTGAGACTATCAAATCCAATTGGTTTCGTCCAAAAATATCAAGTAACGAGTGAGTTATGATTTTTTTTGAAATTAAGGGCAGAAGCTGAAAAACAGCGACACTACCTAGTGCAGTTTACTCTATGTGACATACAAAATTTTACCAACATCGGATTATTATGATTCTAAGTTCATTCAGTAACTAACTTATGTGGCTATCCAACGCCACCAGCTTTGTATAAAAATGCCAAGTAACAAAAGACTTATGAATTTTTAAAGATGAGATAAACTGAAATTTTTGAAGAGATAGTAAAACTTTAAATCGCTAACATTTTTTTGTAAACGGTGATTTGTAAATTTATTTGTATGACATATATCTACTTTCAAACATAATTTATTCATAAAGAATGTTTGTAGAATAGATCCACACATGAAATCCATGGGAATCTAATTTAAAGAAAATGTAAACATTTCATAATCAACTAAAGATATTAAATCACCGGCTTCTCTATGACATGTTGCATCGTCCTCTACCATTATCCATGCCTCAAGGAAAATTCATTCAACCTATACAAAGGGAATTAATCCATGAGTTAGAAACTCAATAGATATCATTGGTGCATTTCATTGTCAAATTAAAAATTTCAAACTATAGATTCATACCATTGCACGTAGATGAATTTTTGACAAAATCCAATTACTTTAGCATTACCATAACACGTAAAGCCGAAGAATGATAGTTCAGACTGTTGTAGTGCCGAAGTAACATGCCCGAAGGTACCATTTCATTCAAACATTTATTAGAAATCATAATTTGAAATGAAGTAAACACCTGCACCTTAACCTACCTTGAATTTTCTTGGATATTAAAGAACAATATGTGCAGAAAAACTTTCTTCTTCTCATCCTTGTTATTTTCTTAGCTTAAATTGACATGAAATATATTTTTTTGAAAAAAAATAAGAGGAAATTTGGAGTTGAGGAGGGGTATAGTGAAAAAGTGACCTTCCACTTCTTGTAACATTCCTTTAAAAAAAAAAAAACTAAATCAGGGAGTTGTATTATCATTAAATTTGTTAAATTGAGTCTTTAACTAAATTTGAAAAGTTTTTAAGCCATAAAAAATCGTTCATAAAAAGTTACATAAAAACATCTACATGGTGATTCGAACCTAGGTTGCCAATATGAAATACCTTGTAGATGACCATTATGGCAACCCAATTATTCATTAAATCTATGTAAATAAATTTACTTGAACTTAATCTTTTAAACTGTTGGGCTTTTAATTAACTTATGGCATGGGCTTTCAAAATCTTAAATGGGTTGAACTTCCATAGCTCGTTTCTTGAATGAGCTAGGCTCATGGTGCTAGATCATCACAAAATAATAGTCTAATTTCATTTTTATTTCTTGAGCTTCTACATCCCTTACTCCTTAAACAAAATTTTGTCTTCAAAATTTACCTTATGGATTAGTAAAGAGTGTTAGATATTTATCTTTGACTTCTTTTTCCCCCCAAGTAGATTCTTCTACTCCATGATTATTCCATTGCACTTTGACCAATTGAATCTCCTTGTTTCGTAATTTATGCACCTTTCGATCCAATATTTTAATCGGTAATTCTTCATAAGATAAATCTTTCTGTACTTCTAGGAATTGATAATTCACCACGTGATTAGGATCATGCACATATATCGATATATAAAACACGTTGTGAACGGTTGATAGTTCAAGCAGTAAAGCCAGTCGATAAACCACATTCCCAACCCTATTAAGTATTTCAAAAGATCCGATATAACGAGGTCGTAGTTTACCTTTCTTGTTGAACCTAAGTACACCCTTTATTGGTGCCACCTTTAAAAACACTTTCTCTCCTACTTCAAATTCCAAGTCTTTTCTCCTATTATATGCATAGCTCTTTTATCTATCTTGCGCGGCTCTTATCCTAGTACAAATCTTATCAATGATTTCAAGTGTTCTTTTAATAATCTCTAGTCCCAAAACTCTCTTTCCTCCAACTTCATCCCAATGAACAGGTGATCTGCATCTTCTATCATAGAGAGCTTTAGACGGTGTCATTCCAATAGTTGCTTGGAAACTGTTATTATATGCAAATTCCACTAAAGGTAGATACGATTCCCAACTACATCCTAGATCCAGAACACTTGCCCTTAGCATATCTCTCAAAGTTTGAATGGTCCTTTCAGACTTATCATCAAATTGAGGGTGATACATCGTACTGAAAATAAATTTCGTTCCCATAGCTCCTTGTAAGCTTTTCCAAAACTTTGACACCAATGGACACAAAGACACCATGCAATCTTACAATCTCTGTAACGTACAACTACGCCAGCTTATCTGGACCAAATGTCATTTTTACTGGAAGAAAATGAGCGAACTTCGTTAGACAATCCACTATTAGATCCAAAAAACAGACCCTTAGCATTTCTTCCAAAGTTTGAATGGTCCTTTTAGATTGACCATCGGATTGAGGGTGATATGTAGTACTGGAATTGAATTTCATTCCCATAGCTCCTTGTAAGCTCTTTCGAAACTTTAATGTAAATCTCAGATCTTTATTAGATACAAAGGACACGAGGACACCATGCAATCTTACAATCTCTCTAATATACAATTGCTCTAGCTGATCTAGAGTAAATGTCATTTTTACTGGAAGAAAATGAGTGAACTTTGTTAGACGATCCATTATTACCCATATAGCATAGTGTCATCTTGCTGTCTTTGGAAATCCTGCCTCAAAGTCCATTGCGATATTCTCCTACTTCCATTCAGGTATGTCTAATGGATTTACTAACCCTATCGGTCTTTGATATTCTGCTTTAACTTGTTGGCACTCTATGCATTTTGCCAGAAATGGAACTATATTTCATTTCATATTTCTCTACCAAAATGTATCTCGAAGGTCTCGATACATTTTCGTACCACTAGGATGTGCGTTGTACCGGGTGGAATGAGCCTCCTTTAATATCTCATTCCTCAAAACTTCATCCTTAGGTACACAAATTCTTCCTTTAAACATTAGTGCCTAATCCAAAGCTATTTGGTAATCCTTTCTCTTATCAGTACCAATCTCATTCTTGATCTTTTACAAGAATGGGTCTTTATCTTGTGCTTCTATTATCTGATCTCTAAGAGTAGCTTGAACCACCAAAGTTGCTAAACGAGCAGTGACTTGTTATTATGTGGTAATCCCTTCAATTCGCAAATTTTCCAAGTCTTTGATTAACTCCATCTGAGTAGTAGGTAATGATGCTAGCTGTCCCATCGACTTCCTACTTAGAGCATCGACAACAACATTAGCTTTACCAGGATGGTAATGAATAGTGTAATCATAATCATTAACTAGCTCCAACCATCATTTTTGTCTCATATTCAATTCCTTCTATATAAAGAAATATTTGAGACTCTTATGATCCATGTAAATGTCGTACTTTTTTCCATATACGTAATGGCGCCATATCTTTAATGCATGAACTATCACTGCAAGTTCTAGATCATGTGTTGGGTAGTTTTGCTCATGTTGCTTTAATTAGCTTGATGCTTAGGCAATCACTTTTCCATGTTGCATCAGTACACATCCCAAACCTTGTTTGGATGCATCACTATATATAACAAACCCTTCCGAGCCTTCAGGTATGGTTAACACGGGTACTATAACCAATTGTTGTTTTAGCTCCTGAAAACTTTGCTCATACTTATCTATCCATTGAAACTTTACTCCTTTCCTTGTCAATTGAGTCATTAGTCCAACTATTTTGGAAAATCCTTCTATAAATCTTTGATAGTACCCAGCCAATCCCAGAAAACTTCGAACTTCACCAGTATTAGTAGGTGTCTTCCAATTAATTACCGCTTCTACCTTTACTGGATCTACTTCAATTCCATGGGTAGTAACTACATGACCGAGAAATCCAACTCGCTCAAACCAAAATTCGCACTTTTTAAATTTGGCATATAGCTTTTCCTTGAGTAGTATTTCTAATGCTATTCTAAGATGTTCCCCATGTTGATCTTTACTCTTGGAGTATATCAAAATATCATTGATGAAGACTATGACAAATTGATCCAAATACTAATGAAACAGATGATTCATTAGATCCATGAACACTACCGAGCATCTATCAACCTAAGCAGCATAACTGTAAAATTTTAATGTCCATAACGAGTTTTGAAAGTTGTCTTAGGTATATCACTCACTTTAACCTTCAATTAATGATACTCAGATCGTAAATTGATCTTAGAAAATACCTTAGACCCTTTCAATTGATCAAACAAATCCTCGATTCTTGGGAGAATATACCTTCTTGATGGTCAAACGGTTCAACTCCCAATAGTTGATACACATCCCCATACTTCCGTATTTTTTCTTTACGAACAACACCGGTCTCCCTTATGAGGATACACTTGTCGAATAAAGCCACTATCCATGATGTGATCCGGCTTGCACCTCGAATTATGAAATATTTGATGTATGTTGGCAAGAGATCGAAACCAATATTTGAGCTCAATTTGGGGCCAAAAGGAGTTAATAAAGCTGGAAAAAAGAAGCTCAAGTTGGTGAATTTAATTTCACATATTTTACTATGAAATTAGAGAGTTAAAAGGGCTTTAAATTGGAATCATTTCAAGGCCGGGAATGGGAGAGAAAATATGGTGGATCAGCTGTGTTAGCCAATGGAGGAGGAAGCAAAGGCAAGCTGGGACACGTGAACTCAAAACTGGTCAGATTGTCTGCAAGCTATGCGATCGCAACTCGTAAATCCTATGCGATCGCAAACACAGTCCCAGGGAATTCAATGGTCGTAACTTACGTAACTATGCGACCGCATGTGCAGCGAAACAAGGCAACATCCCAAATTTTAAGTGAAGTTACCAATTTTGAGTGAAACTCTATCTTCAGCCGGTGCATTGGGATCCGTTAGTTATTGTTTCCTTTTAGAATAATATATCTTTAATAATTTTATTCCTTTTTCCCATATTTTAGGTGATATTTTATGCTATTTAAAATAGCTATTTTCCTTTTTATTAGTTTTTAGGGTTTTAGTATAAATAGGATTATTTCATTGTATTTCAGATAAGTTTGATTATGAATTAATGAGAGATTTTCCTCTTCGAAGCGTTGCTTCAAAACTTTGTGATGGGCAATTTATCGAACTTATCAAGATTTAAACATCTTGTGGCATTCAAAACATTGGGTTGAATCATTGAATTGTGTAATCAAGGGGTCTTTCGTGTCAACGTTACCGTTGGGTTTTTTGGTTCATCTTTTATTGGTTTAAATCCACAATCTGGGTGTGATTTTTCCAATCGTGTGATTAAGAGGTCCTTCACAGCAACGTTCTTGTTAGGTTGCTTGGTTCACTATTTTGGGGTCAGATTCATAAACCTTGGTCATATTGGCGTTCTTGGGATCCGATTCAATATCCTGTGGGTTTGATTGCAACCTTGCTAATTGGGTTCGCATCATTTGGTATCAGAGCTTTAGGCACCGAGATCAAGGTTATATCTTTTTTTTTTAGATCTTTGTTGAGTCAGTTGTTATTTTTCTTATTGGTCTTCGAGTCAGTCAGTAGTTTTGAGTCTTTGATCCAAAAAAATTCAAAAAAAAAATTCAAAAGTTGTTTTTGGATTCGATTTGTATCCAAATCAACTTCCGTTTGTTGCGTCAGAGTCGTATTTGAATTTTCTATCCAAAGAGTAAAAAAAAAAAAAAAAGAGGTCAAAATTTTTTTTACTGTTCATCCGTACGGAATCCAAAAAATAGTGTAAAAAAAAGAGAAAAAAAAGGAAGTAAAAAAAAAAAGAGTCAGAAAAAGAGAAAAAAAAAGGTTTAAAAAAAAATGTCAAGTTCAAGTTGGAATCAATTCAACATATCAAGCGATGTAATGAGAGGATTTGAGAAGATGATTGAGGATATGGAAGATTCAATAACTAAAATGGATAGGATTTATTCAAATTTGGCTAAATTTCATGGAGATCAATGCATTGGGTTGTCTAATGTGCGGAGACGGGGTAGATTGGAGCCTAGAAATAAAATATATGATACATATGAATATTGTAGTGATAGTGATGATGCATGGGTTGAGGATGACATACGAGGAATGAAAAATAGAGGCGATAGGTTTGGAGAACGGGATAGAAATCATGTTGGATATGGTGTTAGAAGGAGTTTGGGAAATATAAAAATGACAATTCTATCTTTTAAGGGTAGGAAAGATCCCGAGGCGTATGTGGCTTGGGAAGAAAAAGTTGAGTTGATATTTGAGCGCTATAATTATTCTGGGGAGAAAGAATTGAAATTAGTAGTTAGCTCATTCGTGGATTATGCTTTAACTTTGTGAGATGAGTTGAAAACATCTAGGCGAAGGTGTGGTGAGAGCCCGATTGAGAATTGGGATGAGTTGAGGGCGATTATGAGAAGAAGATATGTGCCAAATTATTACAGGAGTGATCGGCGTGAGAAAAATTTAGGGAAGTGCCTAGAAGAACTCATAAGGTTGAACATCCAATGGAGAAGAAGGCATCTTTTGTGAAGTGTGTGAGTAGTACATCAAGCAAGAGTGTTGGGTTGGACTATAAACAGGAATTCTCTGAGATTCTCGACATTCTTATGTCTCAAATTAATCATCCAAAGATGCAAAAGAGTAAGAATAAAATTAGTGAGGTGGTTGATTGTGAGGAAAAAGTAGATGAGCCACAAGAAAATAAAAAGGAGATCGAGAGTAAAAATGAGAATAAAGAAGTGGTTAAATTAGAAGTGGAAGATGGAGTAGGATCTTCGGAGGTAAATAAAGTGATGGGAGTGAGCTTGGATGAAAATGAAAGAGGAGTTGAGGAGGCTTTATCAGAAACTAATAATTCCCTCCCTATTTTGGACATTCCATTTTTACAGGCTATCAGAGATTCAGTCCATGACGACGAGCCAATTGGGATTCCATATAACCCAGGCATTGGATATCAAATTGTGGGAGAAATTAATCAACAACCGCATCTTAGCTTGGAAATGCCTTTATTGCCATCAGTTGAATTTGTGATCCCCGAAGAGGTACAAAAGTTTCCATGGAAGGAGTTTATATGCACTGACTTGAAATGCCAAGATGAAATGCTGGGAAAGATGAAGCCATTCGAAGTGTCATTTTTAAAATTACCTAGGCTGAGTCACGCAAAGGAAGTGAACGGTGATTTATTAGAAAAAATAAATCTTAGAGCATCACAAAATGGCAAAAAGAAATCATCGGGGCTTACACACTTTGATCATTGCGAAGGACATTGGGTTTACATACGCAAGAAGAGAATTCGAGTTTAAAAGAGGTCCAAGTTTCATCCTCGGGGTGGTGGACCCTTCCATGTACTTGCATTGATTGGGAGTAAGGGTTATAATTTGGAATTGGATTCGAGGTCGAATCCTTTCGAAGAGAGAGGGGATGATGTGATCCGGCTTGCAACTCGAATTATGAAATATTTGATGTATGTTGGTGAGAGATTGAAACCAATATTTGAGCTCAATTTGGGGCCAAAAGGAGTTAATAAAGCTGGAAAAAAGAAGCTCAAGCTGGTGAATTTAATTACACATATTTTACTATGAAATTAGAGAGTTAAAAGGGCTTGAAATTGGAATCATTTCAAGGCTGGAAATGGGAGACAAAATATGGTGGATCAGTTGTGTTAGCCAATGGAAGAGAAAGCAAAGGCAAGCTGGAACACATGAACTCAAAACTGGTCAGATTGTCTGCAAGCTATGTGACCGCAACTCGTAAATCCTATGCGATCGCGAACACAGTCCCAGGGAATTTAATGGTCGGAACCTATGTAACTATTGACCACATGTCCTTCAACTATGCGGTCACAAGGCAGCGAAACAAGGCAGCATCCCAGATTTTAAGCGCAAGTTACCAATTTTGAGTGAAACTCTATCTTCAGCCGGTGAATTGGGATCCGTTAGTTATTGTTTCCTTTTAGAATAATATATCTTTAATAATTTTATTCCCTTTTCCCATATTTTAGGTGATATTTTATGCTATTTAAAATAGCTATTTTCCTTTTTATTAGTTTTTAGGGTTTTAGTATAAATAGGATTAATTCATTGTATTTCGGATAAGTTTGAATATGAATTAATGAGGGATTTTCCTCTTCGAATCATTGCTTCAAAACTTTGTGATGGGTAATTTTATCAAACTTATCAAGATTTAAACATCTTGTGGCATTCAAAACATTAGGTTGAATCATTGAATTGTGCAATCAAGGGGTCTTTCGCGTCAACGTTACTGTTAGGTTTTTTGGTTCATCTTTTATTGGTTTAAATCCACAATCTGGGTGTGATTTCTTCAATCATGTGATCAAGAGATCCTTCAGAGCAACGTTCTTGTTGGGTTGCTTGGTTCACTATTTTGGGGTCAGATCCATAAATCTTGGTCATATTGGCGTTCTTGGGATCCGATTCAATATCCTGTGGGTTCGATTGCAACCTTGCTGATCGGGTTCGCATCAGTCTAAGAATTCTTGTAGTTGAATTTTCAACTCCTGAAGTTCCTTTAGAGCCATTCTGTATGGAGCTTTAGATACTGGTGCTACTCTGTGAATCAGATCTATTGTAAATTCCACTTGTCTATTTGGTAGAATACTAGGTAGATCTTTTGGAAAACATCGATAAATTATTGTACCACTTGTACATCCTCAATCTTTATCGTTGTCTATTTTTCTCCTGAGATGTTAACTAGAAACCCTTGAGATGTTTCTTTTCGCAACATTTTCTTGGATTGTGAGGCCGATACTAGTTAGAGATAGGGTTTGGTCTTTATTCCAGGGAACGAAAATTGTTTTTCTCCTGGTTTCTGAAAAGACACTTCTCTTCCTCAACAATAAATTGTTGCATAATTATATCCTAACCAATCCATGCTCAAAATCACCTCAAAGTCTTTCATCTCTATCGTATATAAGTCAGCTTCAAATGGTTTTCCTTAATTTTAAGATTCACCGACCTAGCTAACTGATCTTTGTTCAATGTTCTATCTAAGAGGATGCTAAGTTCTAGTGTAATCTTTGACTTATCACAATTAATACTAGATTTAGCAATGAAAGATATTGATACGAAAGAGTGAGTAGCTCCTAAATCAAATAGTACATAAGCAGGTGTATCAGATATCAGTAATATTCCTTTTATCATGTTTGAGTTTTTCTCTACATCCTTCTGAGTCATCGTAAAAACTCGTGCCTTCCTCTTTTTATTCTGATCATCGTTATCATCCTTCTTCTGAGAAAGTATGGGACAATCCTTAGCAATATGTCCTGGTTTACTGCACTGAAATCATGCATTCTTCTCGTACAAACATTCCCCACGATGAGGTTTACCGT